ATAGACTGGTCTGGCCGGTACGAACAACAGAGGCTGCATGGGGATAAATATATAGATATATATATATATATATGTGACGATATATATATGTATATATGTATATTTTTTGGGGATGTATTGTCCCATGTTTTAGCGGGTTATTTATTCCTGTATCGCAGGTGTTCGGCACTGTGGTCGCCTTCTTCGTGCTTGAGATCTGGCAACAAGCAGCAACAACGGTGTTGGTATGCTGCTCRCTRCCCATTCGAATTCGTGTTTGTCTTCTCCATGATCTTGGCGGGACCAACARSCCTYGTCATCACGGCCAGCTTCATTAGTAGGCTGGCGGCGTTCATGTACAGGTGTGTGTGTGGGAGGGAGAAGGCTGGTATCTTCTCCAYGGATGAGGAGCRAACAGCARCAGTAATATGAGTGCGTGAGTGAAAGAGCAGCGGAGRGGGGGGGGCATACTTGTGTGGCACGCATCTGGCCGGGTTCYAAGGGGGAGATTCACTCTCGTTTTGCTCAGWAGCAGRCTGCATAGCCGAAGCACACAAGAAGTTGTGGGATTGCAAMTATAGGTGAGGTATCTCACGCCCGTTCTGRTGGCCACGTGGCTTGTATGTTGCTCGTCCCCATCAAGAGCARCGGAGGGGGGGGKGTAMTTGGTTACGTTGTCAACGGTGGATCCGTCTCTWTTTCACATAGTTGATGAGTAGTACATAGGGCACGACGTTCTTCCTCATACTGGCTAAGTTAGGCCTAGTGTCTGTCCTATGCATCTCGGTGGTCTTCATGATAGGAAGAGAAGCGAGGGGAAAAGCCCATTAAAGCGAACGGGAATACAAGTGGTGGGGGTGTGTGCCTGATCGTAGCAGTGGACTGTAAGGTGGGCACCTGTCCGTACTTCGGTTGCAACAGGTTGCTGCTGCTGGATTTTTCTAGCGCAGTACGGATTGAGTTAAGGGCTGCTGAGGGAAGAACTATCTAAGTGGTGACTAAGGATGAAGTTCAGATTGCAGTCACGACTCGTCAATTATCGCTTGCAGGCAGGCTAGGC